GGAGACAAGCTTGTGCGTCTTGGGCTTTGTTCAAATATTTGACAGGCGACCGAGGGGCGGGGCTGGTCCCTTTGGCCATTATTGGTTAGTTTGTCAAAGGAAGGGGGAGGGAAACTAATGAGCAACGGGGAAAATTAAGCTTACAAATCAATGACTTTATCTCAAAAGATTCAGCATTGTAAAGATATAGAGTGCCATAGAATACATATGTATTTACCGCAGGGACAAATCTTAAATTCTATTTATAATACTGCCATGTTTAATCTTTTCCCAAGAAATTAAGAGTATCTGCACTGAGAATACCAATCTTGCTTTATAGCCAATTTCTGGCTGACATAACCATATTAATCTTGTTTATGGCCCGCACACCATATTAAAATTTTTGCCCACTTATTTAATGCACTTAAGCCATCAACTCGGACACATACGAAATAACTTAGGGGCAAGTTCAATCAAACGAGTTAATAACTTCCGCAATGTGGCAGCCGAAATTAACCATAATTCACATGCCACGGCCAACTAACCGAGCTATTAGCCTTCTGGTCTCAGAGCTCCGGAGCAGGATATCAGGCTGTGTGCGCCTGAATGGATAGTCCGAGTGGGCCAAGACGGCTCGGCTCGGTAGGAGCTCTGGGTCGGGGTCGGGCTCGGGTAATATGGTAATTTTAGCGTTTGTCTCTCCCCGGACTCACACGGCAATCAGCACACACACGGGCCCAGGTACACAAAGAATAAAAATGCCGGAGCACATGTCACATTTGCCACATGAGTTAACGTAGCTTATTTATCATGGGCCCCCTTCTCGTTGCCCGCTTCGCGACTTCGTCCTGTGCTGTCCTTCATCCTTCTGTCTCCCTGAGGCGCTGGTTCAAGGTGACCAAGGCATTTGCCGGCCAATCTGTGGTCGTGTTTAAACGGGTGGCACTCGGAAAAATCTATCTCGGGTTATGTAGCTATTTATAGCTATTGCGCTTAATTAAAAAAAGAATATCTCAATAAATTTAAATATTGAAGGATGTACGGAAAACTTTGAATATTTTTCAACTTGCAAGTAAGTGATCCTACCAATGGAAAACCATCTGTAAATATTTATTATTTCATATCTTAAATAGTTAAGAAAGAAAATTAATTAAATAAAAATAAAGAGAGTATTGATATAGTTCTATCCTTTGTGAAATTTTATTTCCGTGTATTTATCGATATAGAATATATTTTAGAATATATATTAAAATAACACAAATATCAATCTTATAGATATTTTAAAGTCTTTTCATTTTCAATATGATATCTAAACTTTACCCTTTTCTTGCAGTTAGATAATTATATCTAAAGCCCATCGATCTAACCCTTATTTTTTCCCGATGTATTGACTGTATGCTCAACACCAAAATCTAATTGTAGCCCTAAGGCATAGGCTGTGATGGTGGCACAACTTTAATTACGGTGGCCACGACTCCTCGACTGAATGGACTCCATTCCCAGTATCACAATGCAATATTTATTAGTGCGTGTGCTGGGGCTCCCTTGGCCTCCACCGGGTATATATAATAAATACAAGTATATATGCATGCGACCATACGCTGTGTGTGGCCTGGCATTATATGTCGCCTGACTAAATTTAGATATGCAAATCGATAAAGAAAAAAATACCAAGGCACGCACGCATTTTTAGTGCCCAAGTTTTGCCTCGCAACGTTTTTCCAGGCCTGAGTAGGAGTTGGACTCGGAGAAATTGGCTAGGACTGAGAGACATGTGTGCAAAGGTCGCGCTTTTGTTATAATTGTATACAGATAGTAAAAGCCTTAGCCCATCAAAGCGATTTACAAACCTGCCACGAGCCCTCGCCCCCAACAGAGGCTTAAGATTTAGGCTGGCCCGATAGCATTTCACATGAAATGCCAACCCATTTGTTTGCATTGCCGAGTGGTTGGGTACTAAAGTCAAGCACAACTTATTGGAATGAATATATATGAATCATGGTTCTTGGTAGTACCGAGGAAATTAACTAAGGATCATGAGAGACAAAGGTGTGTGTGGATTATATGATAATTTAGTAAAATTATTAAGCAAATAATTAAATATTTAAGTCAATTAATTAGAAAACATTGATTGAAGGTATAAAAGTATAAGTACAAGTTGTAAATAAGTTATGCTTTACTAAACCGTCATCTATCATCTTACAAATCGTTTTATTAATAAAAATATCGATTAATGTTGAAAACCCTAATAATCAGTACAACTTGATAAAAAAAAACTGTTTTAGTTTAAGCTTTTTTTTTCATAAAACTTTTTTTAGAGCTAGATTAAAAAATCGATCTTTTCGATTACATATGAACTTATATATCGTTATATTGATAAAAATATCGATTGATGATTTTGAAATTAAAACATCTGTACCAGTTATTAATGCAATTATATTTTAAATTCAGATTATTTTATAGACTATGCCTCATAGATCTTTCAGTATAGTTTTTAAAACAAAAAATACTTCCAAGCTAAAAAAATCGAAATGTTTGATATGATTAAATATTGATACATTAATCAAAATAAATAATCTAACGCCGACCCACTTCTTCTTGAAGGTCAGACAGAATAGTTTTGAGTCCCATATCCTTCCCAGAGTTCCATAAATACAGCCTCAAAGCACTGCCAGGTGGAAAAGCTTTCAGGGCCCGCCTGTCTTGCTGAGCCGTTTACCTTTAATTATAATGTTCGACGCCTGCCCCAATGTAATTGCGGGGCTCCGGGCTGAAATATCGTAGTCCTTGCTGTTTAGCATCGTGGGAACTTTAACTTTTGTTTTACTTTCACTAATTGAACCAATTGGGGCCATACAAACCAGGCAGTGTGTATATGTAGTTATATATATAGACATTCATATATCTTTTTCCGATGCCAGAGAGCTCTTTGCAATATTTATGGGCATATATTGATTAAATAATTAGGCCTCTGCAAGAGGCCAATTCACATGGATATAAATGAAATTTATGTCAAATGCCAGGGAATATAAATTTATACCCAGTGGGCCGGACAAAGGCAGTATGTATAGTTTCAGTTGCACTTCATTTAATAAAGCAAATTGCACAGACGGGGTGAGCGGAGCGACTTAATTAATAATTTATACGCAGCTTGTTAACACTTTTTGCCTCCATCTCCTTTAAATTTGTTTTCTTTTTCCACTATCATTTTCTGAGTTTGTTTCTCTTTTATAACATTTTTGCTGTTTTCGTTTTCGGGTCGGGGCACAGAGCCGCTGGTTATTTGAACTGGGCCCGGGGAATAGGGTTAAGTTTTTGAGCCAGACTGAGATAGACAAAGTGAATAGCGGAGGGAGGGCGAAACTAGAGCAGACTTAGTCAAGGTGTTTGGGGTCGAAAGGTATTACAAAATTTTGTTGGGATTTTCTTTGAGGTTGCCTCTCATAAATAAAATTTTGGGTTATAAAGCCAGTGATTTTTAGAATTTATGTTAATGCTTCATCTGTGCAAAAAATGCGAGCCAAAAACTTTAATTTTTGGGCTGCTTTTAAAGCCCACTAAAAAAAATAGAGTGCATGCGAAAATCAGAGTGGAATAATCGTTTAGAATTAAAATTTAAAAGAAACCACAAATGGTGATAATTCGATTAAATTAGAATCGTATACTACACTTTAATTTGATTAAATATATTCCGCCATTTGTGCAATTAACATTGCGACTCGCTGTTCCACAGATCCGATATGCAGGCTCCCATGTGGGCTATCTCCGCATAAATATATTAATGGGATTTTCCTTTTTTGTGTTTTTGTTCTCACAGTCAATTCGCCCCGGGTGCCAGAGCAGCAGTTCATAGTTCAGAGAGCGCTCACTCACTCACATATTGATGGATATTTATGGCGTTCGTGGCTGGAAAGCGGAAAAGCTCCAAAATACGTGCATGATTAAAATCCTCGCAGGAGCATACGGCTATGCGGCTTTGGCCAGAGGAGATGGCTCAATCAAGCCGTCCAAATAGCCGGCGGCGGATGAGGGCATCTAAATTGGCTTTGTAACTGTTTGAATTTGTTTATCCAGCATTTTATTTAGCCACATCTGCGGGCCCTCGGATTTCGGTGTGGTGGCGGGGTCATCTATCGATTTTTCCCGCGCAGCTTTGACTATTTTAATGCTCCTTTTCTCTCATTTTTATTTTATTTTTGGTGCCAAATATTTGCCCCTATTGTGTGCCGTTTGTCTATTTGCAACAATATTTATTCTGCATTTGCCATCGATGTGTTTTGGCTGCGTGGGAGATAATTTCCGCTAATTGCTTGCAGGGGATATACTTAATGGCGGAAAAGTTGTGGCAACGTTTGGCAACGATATAATGTATTTCAAGATCAAGCATCTCCAAAAAAAAAAATGTGCTTTAACGTCTGACTAAAAAAGAAACAGCAGTCGAGAAATTTAATTTTAAAAACATTTTTTTCCATTTTTAACAAATAATCATACAGAATAAAGTCACTGGTATATTTACCTCCTGTCAAAACTCCCCGTTGAGATCCCGTATCTACAATTTTTAGTTTTCGTCGGAACTTGGATCAGTTCAGTTCTCAAAACTGTTCTCACACTCCTCAGACCAAAGCCGAATTATAAAAAAGAAGTTTTTTTACATATTTAATTCAACTAAAAATACACAATATTTTTGAATAAGTGAAGTTTCTATAAGGCTTATGCCTCATTTCAGTATGTCTTTTAATAAAGTAGACTTGACTGGTGTTTCGGATAGCTGGCAGAAGGTGGCAGGCCAAAAGCCAAAGTCCAAAGGTCAGCAACACAAGGGCCAAGAAAATACAGGATGTGGCGATCAGCAGAAAGAAAACAATGGTAAGACTACGCACACTACTCTGAGCGAACCTATCGTCAACTTCTGCTTACTTAGATGGATGGCAGAAGGTTGATGGCCAGCAGCAGAAGTTCGGAAGACAGCAACAGAAGACCCAAGAAAATACTGGGTGGGGCTGTCGGCAAGGTCCCCATCCTCCTAAGGCTATGGATAAGCCAACGACTTCAGGATCACTGCCGAGTTCGAACTCTTCAACCTCTTCATCCTCTGGGTGGCAGAAGGCAGGAGTGCTACAGCAACAGAAGACCCAAGGAAATACCGGGTGGGGCTGTCGGCAAGGTCCCCATCCTACTAAAGCTATGGATAAGCCAACAACTTCAGGATCACTGCCGAGTTCGAACTCTTCAACCTCTTCATCCTCTGGGTGGCAGAAGGCAGGAGTGCTACAGCAGAGGACCCAAGGATCTCAAAGATTGAACAGTCAGCAAGGCAGTTGCCACGAGCGTGTACAGGATCAATCGAGGAACTATCCTCAGCAGATGGTCCCCATCCCCATAAGTCCCCAACCTACTAAGCTAACAACTTCAGGATCACTGCCGAGTTCGAACTCTTCAACCTCTTCATCCTCTGGGTGGCAGAAGGCAGGAGTGCCACAGCAGAGGACCCAAGAATCCCAAAGATGGAATGGTCAGCAGGGCAGTAGCCACAAGCGTGTACAGGATCAACCGAGGAACTATCCTCAACATCCACAGGGACAGCAGATGCAACATCCACAGAGACAGCAGATGCAACATCCACAGGGACAGCAGATGCAACATCCACAGAGACAGCAGATGCAACATCCACAGGGACAGCAGATGCAACATCCACAGAGACAGCAGATGCAATATCCACAGGGACAGCAAATGCAATATCCACAGGGACAGCAGATGCAACATCCACAGGGACAGCAGATGCAACATCCACAGGGACAGCAGATGCAACATCCACAGGGACAGCAGATGCAACATCCACAGGGACAGCAGATGCAACATCCACAGGGAGAGCAGATGCAACATCCACAGGGACAGCAGATGCAACATCCACAGGGACAGCAGATGCAACATCCACAGGGACAGCAGATGCAAAATCCACAGAGACAGCAGATGCAACATCCACAGGGACAGCAGATGCAATATCCACAGGGACAGCAGATGCAACATCCACAGGGACAGCAGATGCAACATCCACAGGGACAGCAGATGCAACATCCACAGGGACAGCAGATGCAACATCCACAGGGACAGCAGATGCAAAATCCACAGGGACAGCAGATGCAACATTCACAGAGACAGCAGATGCAACATCGACAGGGAGAGCAGATGCAACATCCACAGGAACAGCAGATGCAACATCCACAGGGACAGCAGATGCTACATCCACAGGGACAGCAGATGCAACATCCACAGGGACAGCAGCAGCAACGTCCACAAGTACAGCAACAGAGGCAACAATATGACTACCAGTCCAATGGACCAGTTCCAAAGAATGGCTCTTCGGCACTTCCCCTTGGACCACAGGATCAAAAACAACAAGATACACCGAAAGGACTACCTCAACGAGTTCCGATTGGCCCACTTCCATCGCAGCCTGCTGGCATTATAAAACGGGGCACGATCGGAAAACCCGGCCAGGTGGCTGTTAATTACCTGGACATAAACATGGATAAAATGCCAGAAATAGCCTTCCACTATGACGTCAAGATAGAACCAGAGCGGCCTAAGAAGTTCTGGAGACGGGCTTTTGAGCAGTTTCGCGTCAATCAATTGGGAGGAGCGATTGCTGCCTATGATGGCAGAGCCTCTTGCTACTCGGTGGACAGGCTAAACACCAAATCGAGCAATGGGGAAGTGACTGTAAGTATTGGAGGCATTTATAAAAAAAATGAACTCAAATAAACTCAAAGCCCTAGTTAACTCCGTATTCATCTTGTTCACCTTGATGAATGAACACGTGTTCACTTTAGTGAAAGGACACGTCTTTCCTTTAGTAAATGAACTCGTTTACACGGATCCCATTGTTAAATGTCCGCTTTGCTAATTATACATTTTCTTTGATGAATAGACCCTGTTAAAATTATGATTTTCAGGTCATAGATATTTATGGTCGTTCGATTCGATATACTGTGGAAATCAAGGAGACTAATGACCTTCAGGTTGATCTAAAGTCTTTAAGAAGGTGAGTACATATAGCTCTCAACCCTTCTTTGATTATTCAATTTCGATCACATTCAAGCTACATGTCTGAGCGGATTTTCGACAAACCTATGCGGGCCATGCAGTGCCTGGAGGTAGTAATGGCTGTTCCTTGCCATAAGAAGGCCATTCGGTCTGGGCGCTCCTTCTTCAAGATGTCTGCGCCGGGTCAACGTCGGGAGCTGGAAGATGGCTATGAGGCTCTGGTCGGCCTCTATCAGGCCTTTATTCTGGGCGATCGACCCTTTTTTAATGTTGACATTTCGCACAAGTCCTTTCCGATGGAAATGTCGGTGCTTGAGTACCTGGAACGATTTGCGCTGAGGCAGAGAATCAATCAGAGCACCGATCTTGGCCAATTGCGTGGCAACATCGAGTCGTTCCTAAAAGGCCTCAGCGTGATTTATACGCCACCGAAATGTTTCGATTCGTTGCCCCATTGCTGGAAAATTAATGGACTTTCGCGGGACCCGGCCAGCAAGCAGACTTTTCAGCTGGAGGGCAAAGTGCTTACAATTGCAGACTATTTTAGGTCTCGCAACTTCAAGTTGCAGTTCCCCCAACTTCATTGCCTGCACGTTGGGCCTCCGGTGAAAAATATAATGGTGCCCATTGAGCTGTGCCACATCGAGGGAGGACAGGCCTTGAATGTAAGTTCGCTTGAACTTGAGATAGCCATTTTTAAACGTAAATATTTTGCAGCGCAAGGATGGAGCCACTCAAGTGTCGAACATGATCAAATTTGCCGCCACCTCGACCAATGAGCGCAAGGCCAAGATCATGGACCTACTGAAGTTCTTTGAGCACAACTTGGACCCGACTATCAGCCGATTTGGCATTCGCATTGCCAACGATTTCATTACGGTACACACCCGCACTCTCGTGCCGCCGCAGGTGGAATACCAGGGCAAAAAGTGTTGCTCGGTTAGGAACGGATCATGGCGCATGGACAATATGCGCTTCCTAGAGCCCAAGGCGAAGGCGCACAAGTGGGCCATCTTGTACTTTGATCCGCCGTTCGGGCGTAAGATGCCGTACAATCAGGTGGCCGATTTTGAGCAGAGAATGCTGGCCCAAAGCAAGACCGTGAACGTGAGCTTGGACAAAAAGGCTGAAATATGGGCCTATAGAGACGAGCGTAAGCTAGACCAGTGCTTCCTAGATCTTCGGGGCCAATGCGATCTAGCCTTCGTGATCATACCACAGCACGGAGTCACGTACAGCACCATTAAGCAAAAGGCCGAACTGCAGCACGGCATTTTGACGCAGTGCATCAAGCAGTTCACCGTCGAGCGCAAGCTGAATCCTCAGACCATTGGCAACATCCTGCTGAAGGTCAATTCAAAGCTGAATGGCATTAACCATAAGCTAAAGGACGATCCCCGCCAGCCGATGCTCAAGAACGCCATGTTCCTGGGCGCCGATGTTAGCCATCCGTCGCCCGATCAACGCGAGATCCCCAGCGTGGTGGGCGTGGCTGCTTCGCACGATCGCTTTGGCGGTGCCTATAACATGCAGTATCGCCTGCAGCGCTCGACCCTGGAGGAGATTGAGGATATGGAAGCGATCACATTGGAACATCTGCGAGTGTACCAGAAGTATCATAATGAATATCCCGACTACATTATCTACTATCGCGATGGTGTGAGTGACGGCCAGTTTCCGAAAATCAAAAACGAGGAGATTAGAGGCATAAAAGCAGCCTGTCGACAGGTATGTTTTACAATGTCCATCCTTAGTCTATTCTTATACTCGGTGCCCAAAGGGTAGAAGGTTGTTATAGCTAAGTGCCAATAGCCATATATGCGATCTGTTGGTAATAGTTGAGACCTGCTCCTTGTGGACATTAATTATGTCGTTTTCTACGAATACGTTTTGTGGAAAGCCACTATCATCTACAGAGCATGCAGATGGCAATGCACAGTGGTTGGGCTTGTATGGAGACGCGGCCAAAAATAGTTCTAGTTGATGTATCGTTACGAAATTAATACCAAAAATCAAGAAAAATGTTTTAAGTATATGTCCAAAAAATTGGCCATGTAGCACGTCTATATCATATAGCTGCCATAGGAACAATCTGTTAAAAATCAACATTTAGTATGAAAAACTTTTTTGTTTTTCAAAATATCTTAACCAATTTCACAGATAATATGTTTGGAACAGGTTTATGCATTCTTACCAAATTTGGTTAAAATCGGATGTCTATATCTTATAGCTCCCATACAAAATTTTTATAAAATTATTTTTTTTCCAAGAGCTAAAATTAATTTTTTATCTTTTAAAGAGAATGTTGGTGAAATATAAGTGTCCAAAAGTAAAAAAAAAATTATTAACTTATATATTGTGTATTTTATTTGTTTAGAAACAAATGCACACAGCTTAAGGGGGGTAAGGCTAATTCGGTGCAAAACTGCCCACTGTTCAAAAAAATGTTCTGGCGAAACGGCTAAAGTTAGCTTAATGATTTAAATACAATAAATTAACAAAACATTTGAGGCATTTTTTTTTTTAATTTTTGTATTAAAAAATATTTACAGGCCTACGCTTTATTGCTAATCTCCTGAGTCCCCACAAATAAAAGTTGGTTTTCGGTGTACATCCTAAATGTCCACAAAAACGTCCGATATCAAAAAAATGTATTGCATTCCTTAAAGAATTAGTGCCCCAAGGTACTTAAGAGACGTTTTTATTTTTAAAATTTTTTTCCGATTTTTTATCAAAATTGGAAGTCAAAACCCCGATTTTCGACTAAAAAATTAAGTTAATTTAAAAAAATATATATATTAACATTAAAAATTTAAAAAAGCTTTACGTGAGTACCTGTACAATTAAATTTCAAAGTTATGTTCAAAATTTCAAACCGATTGGTTAAGTAGTTTTTGAGTTATAGAGTACACCGATTTTCAAAATGGCATTTTTCAGGAGAACGATTTAAACTTTGTGAGTTTCATACATTGAACACCAAACGACTTCCGTTCAACTATCCATAACTTCGTCAATGTTGTAATAATCGATGTAAAACTTTTACACAATATTTTAAGGATATTAAACCTTTATTTAACAAAAAAAAAAAAAAAATACCAAAAAAAATTTTAAAAACCTTACCCTAACCTGTGTTAGTATTTTTAAGATTATAGGCACATAGGCAAATTTCGGCAAAATTTTTTTTACCATTTGTCATCTTAAAAGCGCGACAAACATATTGGCATACATATGAACTGTAGATTATTGTGGGGTCACAACTATAACTTTAGCTAAACATAAAAGATACGTTTAAAATATAGGCCAGAATCTTGATTATTTCACATGAATATAATGAAAACAATAATTATTTTTAATATATTAAATTATATCTCATTTTATAGAAAATACCTTGAACTTCAAAATCCATTACAAAAAATATTAATTTGGACACGTAATTAATAATCGGACCACTTCAAAGTTCGGTTTGGTTGTGAAACACTCGCAATGCGCGTAGCTACGCTTTGCAAATGAATACATCTTCACATCTTTAATTTAATTTTTAGAAAGTCCTGTTAGATTTAAAAAAAAATCTGGTATGCCACAAGCAAGTTTGGATATTTAAGAGACGATCTGTTTACTTTTCGTACATTTTTGTTGTAATACATTTTTTTATTTTTGGCCTATGGGCGCAACCACTGTGCAATGATGGCTGGAAGATTACCCTTCTATTTCTTAAAACGTTCCCCTACTTACAGATCGGCATTAGACCGCAGATTTGCTGCATAATAGTGGTGAAGCGTCACCATACTCGATTCTTTCCCATGGGCCAACCATCACAGTACAACAAGTTCAATAACGTGGACCCCGGAACAGTAGTGGACCGCACCATTGTCCATCCGAACGAAGTGCAGTTCTTTATGGTCAGCCACCAGTCCATCCAGGGCACTGCAAAGCCGACGCGCTATAATGTTATCGAGAACACGGGCAAACTGGACATCGACCTCTTGCAGCAGTTAACCTTCAACCTCTGCCACATGTTCCCGCGCTGCACTCGATCGGTTTCGTATCCAGCGCCGGCCTACCTTGCCCACCTGGTGGCTGCCCGAGGACGTCATTATCTTTCGGGGTAAGCCACCGGTTTTACATCTTGTTTTCGAATGTCTATTAATTTTTGTACCACAGCACTGAACGGTTTCAGGACTTGAAAAGGGAGTACAACAAGCGCAAGATTGTGGCGGAATTTATGAACACCAATCCGATGTTCTTTGTATAAAGAACACGGTTCCACCTATCCCGATCCTGAATTTTCATTAACTTACTATAATTTTTACACACTGGTCTTTCGCTGTTTTAATAAATATAAATGGGTGGGAAGATTAATTACCTGGATCTTTGGATAAGGTTCCTTATAAAAATAAAATAGATCCCTTTTCCATCTTGTATCCACTTAATACATTTGAAGTGAAAACTATAATCTGATTACTCCGGGCAAATAATAAATTCAGCAGGAATGGAAGCCTTTCCCTTGCATTCGGCAAATAGCAAAGTTAATTAGTTTTATGCACAACCTTTGTTTGCACAAAAAACTAGCAGACTAGCGGAAAGCAGAGGAGAAATCTGCAAAAAGTTTTCACATTTCCGTGCAAGGACATGCGTGACGTAGTCGGGTGACCCCTCCTTTTGGTGGCAAAGCTCAGCTTTCACACTTGCCACGCTCTCACACGTACTTTTCTTTTTATTTATTATGTTTTTTTTTTATTTTTTTCTCTTTTTCTTTCTCCCCCAAAACTCAAGTGAAAAACAAACTTGCACGAGTTGCCCCAGGAATTAGGAAAACGAACGAAAATATGTTACGTGAATATATACACAAAGGACATTGCCATGATTAGCATTTCAATAGCGTATAGGGCACAGAGCCCTATGGGCCCAGGGATATTATTCATAAAAGGCGATTACTTTTAATGCCCAGGCAGGCCTCGTGTGCCAGTATGCAACTATAATTAGATGGCCAATTATGGCGTTGAAAATTGAAATTTGCGGCGACTGCAGTCAATTTGCCACACAAAAAAACAAGGAACGCAAAATATAAAACAAATGTGAAACAATGTGGATGATGAGGCCCCGTCCAACCGGGCGTATACGTAACTCGTGCACTCGTTTCTGTGGACCTCTTAGTCACGCGTCCGCATCTCGAAATCCCCGGCCATAGTTTCGTTCACAGGTGCTAGCTAAGCCAGAAAAAAAATCGTGTCATCCAAGCGATTATCCTTGCGTGTCCACGGATTAATTTTAATGCTCAAAATGACGCACACGATCTGGCCCCGGGCCTTTGATGTGGGTCACACGGCCCAATGCCCTGATCACGAATCATACCTTTGGACAAGCCTTTGGAACCGCCATTTCACTAATCCCACCCATAAACCATACGATTTAATCAATTCGGTACTAACCACATTACGCTCTTCAGTTTATTGTAAATATTTTCCATTCTTCAACCTTTTCTAGGGTCCACTCTGATTGAATTTTAATTAAAAAACTGCCGCGAATCAAACCATAAAAAAAGAAAAGGCAAACGTCAAACAGTTTGGTAATAAAGTCAACCGGTTCATTTGGCATTTAAGGCAATTAAACTACATTGTTTATATCAATTAAATGGGTTTTCCACCGGGTGTCTGCCGTGGACTGGTGCACCGAAATGTTTACATAATAAAATAATTAAATGTAATTGTGTTGCATTTAACGATAATGAAAATGCAATGGCAAATTTCGCTGCTTTGACATTGCACGTAGAGGATATGATAAATGAGGAATCGAATTAATAGTTACAATATGTTAAAAGTTGATTAAGGAAATAATTTCGTAAATATTTACAGACTCCCCCCGAGATGAGGACCCTCCAAGTCCCAGCCTTTATCTTTGACATATATAGAATAAATAAAAGCAAACCCCAACTCTATTCCCCTCTTGATTTTCTAAAGATAACATGGAATCCTTGCTCGAATGCTGAGTGGAAATTCTTGCAGGAAATTCTTCTTCAGGCAAGTGCAACATCAAAGTGCGAATAAGAATAAAGTCTGGAAATCTTTAAGATATTCGCATACATAAGGGGACGTGTATGTCTTGCACTAACTTATTACCATACAGCATTTTCCGTGTACGCAGCAAAAATTGTGGCACAGCATGTGGCAAGGAAAATAGGGGCAGAGAACAGGGGCAGGAGTTAGGATACCCGGCTACAGAGAGCATATCTGAGTTTCCTGCTGCTGAAGTCCTGCATAATAATCCTGCACATACACAGACACACACTCGTGGTGTTGAGATGTAAACGAAATTTGTTGTATTGAAGGCACGGCTTGGTTTTCAACGCTCTGCAGATGACATGCTTTCCCATATTCCGCCCTGAATGCTCAATGAGTTTGACTTTTTACCTGCTGCTGAGACTGTTGGTGTTCTGGCCCCGATTTTCGCATATGCCAAAACCAAGATTAAAGGGGCATATATCATATTTGAGTCTATACGGGCTCGGGCCATATTTCAATAAACGCCGCCATTCAACTTGTCAACGTGTCGCCTGCCAAAGTGGCTGTAAAGTGCAACTCCCGCCTGCCACTCCCTTTATCATTTCCCTCATATTTTCCCTGCACTCGAAACTTATTTTTTCACGCAAATTTCCTTTGCACCGACATAAAAAAAAAGCGAGGGTAGGGTAACTCATTTGAGCCGTGACATGTGATGCCTGCCTGCCTTGTTATGTGACGGCCAAGGGTGAAAGTTTTGCATAATTTACATTGAGCGCGAAAGTTTTGCATCCTTCTGCCATCGTTCCACAATATTTTTTTACTATATATTTTTGTAGATGTTTGGTGTGGGGTCCCAAGGGCAAAGAACTTGGAGTCAAAGAAGCGGAAATATTTCTTTGGCATTAATTGAACTTATTAAAAGTGGAAGATTTTTGAAATTAGTTTACATACAATTTTTGTACAAATAAGTATCGATTTAAAGTCCCTTAAATAATGCAAATTTAACAAAATCAAATAACTTATACATTTCGTTTCGCCATTTAAATCATTATTAAATCAATTAAAAAGTAAATCTAATTAAAACTAATACAGAAATGATTTCCAAATTCAAATTAATACATAGACTTTCCTATCATAATTTAATTTCCCCAAAAATATTATACCAATAAATATATATTTATGGAATTTGCAAATTTAATGCTTTCTTGAGGGCACTTGGTGGCCAAAAATTAAATGAAGACCAATAAAATCATAATAATAATTGAAAGAAACATCAATTTTAAAATACCGTTGCTTATAAATTTAAGCTTCTGACTAATGAAATGGCCAAGCAATACATAATATTTAATATTTATTAGAATTTAAGCTGAAAAGTCTATTTTAATGAATTCAGAAACAAGAGAACAAAGTCATTTCCTTGTGTTTCGTACATCCATCTAAAGCCTCTGCAGGACATTGATATTTCCATTTCACTTCACTGGATTTGCGTGATTTTGCTTATTTGAAACTCTGAGGATTTGATATGTCTTTATTGGAAAACTCATACTGTGGCAGGTGTACATATATCCATCCCCATGCCATGCTGACCGGTGTCGAGTTCGGATTGGCAAAGTAAAAAGCGGCATACAAATATCAAGCATATATATTTGCAGGTATAGGTGTATATATGTACATAGATATAGCAGCACAAGGCAAATACAACAAATCAATTTCTGTTTGACCAACCGCTCCACTGAGCTGGACAGCGAGCTAACTGAAAGCGGCATCGAGCAGAGGAGGGGTCAATCCAAGACCCAATCCTTGTTCCCATTCCCACACATTACAAATTTAAGGAAAATATACCTTTTTAAGTCAATATTTAAAGTTATTTAATTAAATTTGAAACACATATACACGTACATAAAATCAAAAGATATGTTTTGATTTTATTTCTAAATGTATAATCTCGACCTTAATTCTTGACCATTACTTTTTTATTTTTGTCGGTGCATTTGGTAAGTCTCCTGATTTGGTTTATGCCCTTTTTATACCTGCAAATAAACTTGGCTCGATTTCAGGACCTGTTTCAGGCTACGGCTCTGGCTCCGTCTCTGTTTTAGTTTCTGTTTCTCGTTTTAGCCCGTGGCACTGCCACTGACACTGATTGCTTGTGAGCCATATGCCCGACTTGACTGCAGTCAAGACGGCCATTATTCACTTGCACTCGCCACTTCACCCTGCAGCCAAAGGATTTGCGGGGAGTGGCGAAAGGGGGAGGTTTCAGGAAGAGACAGCGAAACTCTCGTGGAAACTTTGCTGGGAATGGGCGCTCAGCCACAAAGGAAAGTAACTGGCAGCGAGCCGCTCGCTTTTCCATCTTTCAATCACATTCTCACAGTGAGAAAAAAATCAATACAGCTGGAAAATAGTTATTGATCTGAAAATATCTGAAATATTAAAAAAAAATCTCTTAAAATTTGTGAAAAAATAAAATCTCAATATAAATCTAATATAAACCTTAAATTTTATTCTTAAATTTAAGGCCTATTTTCTCTTTGTGTCAAATCCCTTTGGGGCGGCCGTAATGGTAGCTGTGGTGCGTTTGAAGGCTTGGCCACCGCACCGGATGTCCTGGCATTTCCGCCCCGCTAATACGAAGTCGCCATGAGTCAGCCTTTGTTGGCCATGTTTGCTTTCGTCCAGGCCGTGGTTTTCTTATTTTTTCATTAGCATTTTTCTTGCAACCCTATGGGGAAATATTGTCGTCAATTATGTTACATAATCAACAGAAAACAAAAATGTTACTTTCTCAGACTTTGACACGGTTCCATTTTCATTTTCGACTCGGCTTTATTTGGGGTTTTCCCCAGCAGCAGATTAGTATTAATGATGTTAAGTTTGCACGCGCCCAAAACTAGGCTAACTCTGTATTTGGGTTAATTTGGCTAATTTTTCGTAGTTTTGGCACCAAGACGAATGGATCAGGAAACCAGACCCAAATTACACAATTATGGCTTTAGCAACGGATGCGTGACAAAATGTGTGCCTAATTTAAGGGAGAGCAATACGATTTTTAACCTCATTTATATTATGGTTTATATTATTGGTTAGTCAAAGGAAATCTAAAATTCTACAAAAAATGCATTTAAAATACTTGACTGTCAATAAACAAGCATTACTTGCCTTAACTTTCTTTTTAAAACCATAATGAACATGGTTAATATTATTAGAAAAAATTCAAAAGTATGCAAACTTTGTAGAATTCAGCTTGTTCAAATGCATATTTTATGCGCTTGTATAAAACAACATTTTAAATAAATATGATTTCAACTCCAAGTATTTTTGGTATATTTTCACTCAGAGTTA